GATTACTTAGATGACATGCTTATGGCTTCATTTTAGACCTTGCACAACTCTTTGATTAGAATAATTTTGGATTAAAATTATTAGCAATTATCAACGTCGATTAAAACAAATAAAGAGATGTTTTGCGTAGGCTAAATCACATGCTCCAAGCTTTGAAATTTTAAAGATAGATAAGACAATTGAAACAACGCAAAATAGTAGTCTTCAATTTAATCCCTAGTCTAACAACGAGATTTAGGATGCACAGAAAGTACACTCAATATCCTACGAATTACTAGGCTTAGCAAGAGCACTTGGATGAGTCTTTTGTGATTACAATCAAGCCAAAGAGAATTTAGATTTCAAAGAAATAAGATGCAAGTGAGAAAAGAAACCTTTGCTAAGGAGACGCGGAGATCCTCCACTTGATGCCTTCAAAATGCTTGTCAATGGCTTCCGTCATTCATAAGGATGAATGATTGTCATCTTCCCACAGTAGCAAGTTCTCTTGAAGACTAGTCAAGAGCGAAGAGACAAGATGTTCTTTTCAATGTGTGTTGAATAAGCAACTCCAAATCTTCCCACAGAAAATCTGAAAAGATTTCAGATTTTCTAGCTAAACTTTAGAGAAAGTTTCAGATTTCTCTAATGAAACAGTAGAAATCTTTGGAGGAGAGCTTGTACAGGTAATTCAAGAGAAGGCTTAATGAGGGGGAAGATAGTTTGGAAAGAAGAGAGAGCACGGGAAGGCATGGGCGGCGGCAAAGAAAAAAAAAAAAGACGGGCAAGGAAATTCTTTCCAAAACAGAGAAGTGGAATAGGAAAGAATAAAGGGATTTGGAGTCTTGGTAAATTCGGTCCACAGAGAAGAGAAATAATTTGAATTATTTCCCAATTGAGTTTATGCTGTAATTAAGAAATAAATCCCAAATTTACTCCTATAGGGGCCGGCTGCTTGCATGTGTGAAGAAGGTTTGGGATGAGGTGTCTTGCTTACCTAATTGAGATATAAAAATAGGAAAGTAATTAATCAAATCCAAGTGAATTTAAAATTCAAATGAAATTGATTTAGAAACTTTCCAAAAATAGAATCGTAAATTAGGAAAGTTTTCAAATTTCAAATTAATGAGTTTGAATTTTGAAAATCTGGCCAAATTCCATCTATCCAAATTAGGCAAGGGTTCTAATGGGGATGAGGGAGTGGATGGGGGCCAGCGGCTAGGTGATGGGAGCCAACGGCATGGGGATCGGGTTGGGAGTTGGCCGTGGGAATTGGAGTGAGGAGGGAGGATTTCGTAGTGGTGGTAGTCCGACGACGAAGTGAGGATTGGTGGGAGAAAAGAAAAGAAGATGGAGATAAGAAAAAGAAACCACGAACCTGACTTATCTAGGTTGGTGGGTATTGTGCCAATCTCTTCCTCTCCTAGGAAGCTCTCTCCATTAGAGTTCTCAAACACACAAATTCTCATGCAAGAAGGAATTTCAATAAGCAATCATTCATTCATTCATTCCCCAAAACAAAGGAAAAGAGGCTATAAATAGCCGGGTACAAAGACTCAAGAAAATAAAAGACCAACTTGCCCTTTGGGCTTACATGCGACAACTCCCATGAGAGGGGTACAACGGGAAATAAAAACGACACTTAAGCAAATAAGAAATGCATAAATAAAATCAAATACAATCATGACTCAGAAATACAAGGACTCGATCGTGGCCGTAGATCGGTGGCCACGTCTCTGATAAACCTTTCACGCTGATCTGATGTCTGATCTGATGTCCCCATCAGACCATGGTAGAGGGCAAAAAGGTTACCAATGTTTACTCTGATCCTTCCTAACAGGGAAAGCTTTAACTAAACTGTCAAAATCATCACATTTTTAGTTTTTATTACTTTTTACTTCATTCAGTTTAAGCCAAAGTGCCAAACAACGAAGTACAATTGTACAAATATAAGGGAATAATTTTATCAGATCTATTCCATCTAGTGGAAGAACCACAATATTTCATCTGTGTATCGCATATTTTACGCCATGAGTTCAGATAACACAGTCTAAAGCAAATTAGCACTCTTTTATGCCAATCACTCTAAAGACAAGGTGGGATCAACATAAAGAAGATGCCACCAATTACTAATTTCTTCAAGCTAACAAGTCAAAACATGGTATGTCCAATATTTCCACTAAAGACTATTATTTCTCAATTTCCTCAAGAAAGACTTTCCTTAAAGAATATTTCCCTGAACAAATTACATTTTTAAGCCAACCAGTGCTGCTGGACTTGATCCTTTTTTATATATTTTTTTCTCATGTCCTTTGCAGATAAACACAGGACAGCTATCGCCTGTTTATTTGTTTGCTTGCTCTCAATCTGAAAGACTAATAAATGCATGACGGTTGTTTATTAAGATGGAAACCATTCAAATAAAAGCATTGCAATATGGAAAGCACTGAATGGATTTAAGATATACGTTCCACCTGATGAAACTACCATCAATACCAGGGAAAAAAAGATCTATCAGGGATTCATTATCTAGCTCACAACTCAGCTGCTATCTTCTGGCTTCTTCATTATAAACAAATTTTTCAGCCGTATTACACTCAATTTACACAATTTATTTTCCATCTAATTTTCCCAGATGCAATTTGGCACTTATATGAAGAAGTTTAACCCGTGTTAACTTCAAGAAAATTTCTGCCCCATCAATGCTTTGGCCAAAAAGGATAACGCCTAAAGAAGACAAACAAAAATAAATTACCGCCAAATTAGAAACCAAAATCCAACCCTTCACTCAGTTTCTTGCCCTGAAGCCCTTTTTTTTTTTCGATTGAGAGCAATTTATTGTACCTCTATAGAAACATTATCATCTTAAATTTCAGTCAACTAAAAAAATTGCAGTGCACCAAACATGAGTCCAAAAAAAGAATTACTACTCTGGAAACAGGGCGAAATAAAATAACTGCTAGTGAATATGAAGAAAGACTCGCAAATATTAGAGTTCAAAATGCCAAAACAGCAGTCTTAAGAGAGTGCAAATCATGAACATGGAAAAAAAAACAAAGGGTCAATGGAGCTAAGAGTGATTTAACTTTGAATGCATTTAGATAAATTTAACATCATAGTTCTTCCTAAAGAGAAGATAAACTTAAAGAAAACCTGCAAGCAGAGAAACTTACTGCAGCTCTAGTTGCATCTTGGGAAGCTAATGCAATGTCAAGCATTAGAAGGCATACATGAAGAGCAGTTCTCTGGAAATGAAACATTATTATGTTACATTAGGCTTTGTTGGCATCAGGGTATACAAGTATTAGTGCATCATACCTCATCTATTGGTTCTATGTTGTAATATAATGGCTCTAGAAATGACAAAGCACATGCATATTCATGCAAATGATAGAGCACAGCAGCCTATGAAACCACCAAAGTAGAACAAATTGTCAGGAAAAAAAAATATAAAAATCAGAAATATTAATTTAATCATCTATAATAGCATACAGTGTTAAATGTCACAACAGAGGTGCCAAACTCGTCTGCATATGCCACCTTAACAGTATCTGCAGCAGCCGACTGATTTAGGGAATTGGAACTGCCCCTGGATATAGAATTAACATTATTTCCAACTATGCTAGCCACTTCAGTTTGATCTCTAGCTGCAAGAGCAAGTTCTTCGCTTCTCTTCTAAATTGACAAAAATATGTGATCAGTCATTAAAAGGAAACATTAAATTTCAAAGAAGTATAGAAAAAAATGAAAAAATTCATAACAAGAATATGAAAAAGATGCTAAAGATTGCACACCAGCTAAAATCAATAACGTCAGCACAAGTTATCAAAAAGTGTTGAAATTGAAAGCAATATAAACAATTTTATATCCTAGTAACATGAAGTCAAATATATACAACATTAATCAACTCCAAATAGATAAAGCCTTATTTCTAGTCCTAAAAAGTTCTTATACTACCACGTGGTTCAACTAAATAAACGGTATCATCATTTATACAAGAAATGAAGGATCCCTAACGAGTGCATAACTCCTTTACAGATCAATATGATAACAAAAACGATGACACAGCAGGCCATAATTAAAATTCTAACGGTGGGTTTGTCCTGAGAATCCATATAATAAATTTCTCAGACCCATAAAGTTTCCATATGAACATGCTAATATACCATTGGAGTCACCTCTGGTGCAATCCTGACCATCAACTATGAAAAGTTTTGATATCAAAATGGTTTTTATAGTTTCCATATGAACATGCTATGGTCAGGATTGCACCAGAGGTAATATACCAGTGGTGCAATCCTGACCTCTGGTGCAATCCATAGTTAAGCAATTAATATCAAATGAAAACAAAAAAATATATTGCTTAGGTTGTTGACACATGTTCAATGGTTTTGATATCAAAACAACCAAAACTCAACCCATAAGCAGCTTTCAAGTAGCAGATTAAAACCATAAAAGAACACTACATCCCATGATTTTTTTTAGCAAGCACGTAATTTTAAAAGTGAAGAAGATCCATAGCTTGCAGAAGGCCACTTCAAAAATAACATCTCCACGAGCATTTCACAAATCAAAAACCACCTAATAAATTATGTGTACAATAACAACCCATATATTAAAGATATCTCCACAACTCGAGCCCAAAAAAAAAATCTCATAGTACAATCCCTAACATCCATCTGGAAATCTCGTTAGACCATCAAAGGATGATGAAAAGATCTACAAAATGCACAAAATCATGCATGGTGATAGTTTTATGAATGTTTAAAAGGACAAACAGCCTTGATAGCTCATATCTACCTATCCATCTAGATAGATAAAAGAAACTTGTGGTCAAATCTATAGAAAAACACCAATTTTCACTATAAACTTCCTTTTCTAATAAATATAAGTATTTGAGCGTACAAAAGACAAAGAAAAAACATTGATCTTAAGTTTCATAAAAAAACCTACATGGTGGATACAACTCACTAAATTCTAGATCTTTCCTTGCCAATCAAACAAATTTAAAGTGTAATGCTAAACTCCTAAGAAAATCTGCACTTTTTTTTTTTTGACTTAGCTTTAATAAGTGTACCAATCAAATTTAGGTGACATGCACTTTTGCTCCAGAAAAGTTTTTTATTGGTCAACATAATCGCGTGCTTATAATGACAGTTTTTGTGCATATATTTTTTTAGGGAGTATAGCATTTCTAACATTTAAACTCTTTAACAAAAAAATGCAAGTATATTATGACATTCTTTATTTCATATTTTCATATAACATATGTTTCTCAGATATAATAAACTTTTATATGCATATCTAACATTAATTTTAGCTTGAATAAAAAAGATTTTCTTTACAAAATATCCCTCATTATAATAGCTTTTAAGTATTGTTAACTCATGACCAAGAATTTTCTCATTGCTATTTATGAGCGAACTAAGATTTATTTTTATTTTTTTAATTAATTGTAGTTTTTTATTAATTTAAATTTGGAGATAAATTCCTAGGATCATGTTCCAGAAGGATCTCAAGCACAGTTGCCTGTTCTAACTCAATAAGTCGACACCTTCAATGTGTATTTATATGCACATCTGCATAAACTTTTTGTTAGTATCAAACATCTTCTAATTGATCCATAATTAATGCAAAGATCTAATTAAGGTTTGTAATGTAACAGGTGATCAACACAAAAAAAATGAATCTGATTGCCCCTATACTTGATGCAGAATTGCATAACTAAACATGAGAGAAAAATGAAAAATTTTGTATAAGCAAGCAAAGTACACATTTCAGGGTTACTAAAAAAAAACAGTTATGGGTGTAGGTTGGGGAAGAAAACTGTTAGGCCTTGCCTGTAAATGCCAAGTGTCAGCTGCTTTGAGCATCTACTATTCTGTTTCTCCATAATATCGGTTTTAGTTTGTTGTTATGAAACTACGAAGCTAAGGAAATGATTGATAATAACAAATTCCCACAGGAGTTTTCTTCGTTTCAATAAAATGCCATAGCATGAATGTGATTTTTTCTAGAATTTAAATTTTTTTTTATAACAAGATATTAGGCTTGGTATGATTTTTTTCATGCTGCAGTGCTCTCATAGTGTTTTAACATAAAGATTTGAAAAACCTAATAACATTTTTTAGAGATAGATCAATGTGCATTTAATGGCAATATCATTTTCTGCTGCTTGGACTATCTTTGGGGAACAAGTTTGTCAAACACTTGATAGTATATGGAAAGGATTTATTAATTTTCCACAGTGAACCACGAGTTGATTGAATTAAAGTAACACTAAGCTTTTTAAGTCTAATTCGTTATTGTATAATAGTGCTACTCATTGTTAATTCCTGGGGTGTAACAACTATGGGAGTAAAGATGATATGAAATTCATGTAAACATTAGCTTGATTGTTGAGAAGCAATCATTTCTCATTCTTTTTGTGATCTAACATAATATTATAATCATATAATCAAGACTGACAATGAATATAAATAAATCTCAGTTTTAAACTTTCTATATTTCCAATTTAGCCTTCTAAAAGATTCAGTTATAAATGCAAGTCCTGCTTGTTTGAAGGTCTGCCCGTAGACTTGGAGCATCACTGGCAATTTATAATTTTGAGCATAGGCTCAAATGTGCATCCAATACATTCCTGAATTAAATGAAAATTGAGTTTTTTAAACTAATTAAAATCTGAAAATACATTCATCTTGATAACTATTTTTTTATTTAGGTAATTCATAAAAAGTAATTTATATGTTCAAAATATCTAGTTAAACCTATCTGCTTAAACCTAAACCAATTTGTTTAAAAAAAGAGACCTCAGAAGAAAACTGACAACCTCATCCTGCCTCAAGATTATACCGCAAGAACTGCAAGGAACAAGCACGCTACACTCCGACCCAACTGCACCATCACTGCTGCTCCACTGCCTCTGCTCTTGTTGTCAGTAGCCCCTCTCCTACCTTTTTTTTTTTTCTTATTTACCTAATGCTTATTTGTTTCTTATTTAGAATTGTTATTTCATTGATGATTTGCACTTCATATTCTCTATTTCAAATGAGGTGTTCTCCATTTTGAATGAAATTTTTAGGTTAGTGTTATTTTCAAATCATCAAAGATTATGAAAAAGAGTTTGATAAAATAGAAAGATCCAACATGAATTTTTAGCAATCAAGTGTAAATTACAAGGGAGGAGTAGACTTACATTTAGTTGAAATGTAACTATTATGCTAAGTTGATTAAAGGAAGTGTAACAAGACTGAAGAACTTCTTATCTAGATTAGAAATAGAAGTTTCAATTTCACCAGTATTCGCATGCTACGGACTATTATTTGAACCCTCAATATCGATATACTGAGAATAAGATCACCGATCTAAAGATCATATGTTGATCGTACAATTCTATGAATAGATTGATTGCTAACTCAATGGTAAGGGCTATGGCTGATTTCCAAGTTGTAGCTCTCAGATATAGAAAATGATTCTTTGGATTACAACAGCCCAAATATGCTATAGTGAAATGTTCCTCTAGTAATTTTAACATCTACTATTTTTTATTTGTATTTTGTGCTAATTGTTTAATTAAATTAGCAGTGGTGGATTCAATTTAGAGATGAAACTCTTGATTTACCAAGAGTTGTAACCAAAATATTGAATTTTACATGCTTGTCATCAAGGTGTGAGCACAATTGCAATATGTATAACCAAGTTCATACAAATAGAAGAAATCACTTGACTAGCTACAGGATGAGCTCGTTGATTTAAATTGTGTGTAACAAGATATTAAAAAAAAAGCATTCAAAGAAAATAGTTTTGAAGTATGATGAAAAATAATTAGTTAGTAATGATATCCCATCAAATGAAGAATAATATGTGGAGGACAAAAATGAAATTACACAATCACAATCAAAAGAAGAAAATCTCAACAAGACTATCATATGTCAACAAGTAAAAGAAATTTTAAGTACAAAACTTTATGCAATAGAAATTAGAATAATCAATAAAATCATTATTTAAAATTTAATTACAATTCTTATTAATTTTTATTGATTAGATCAGAGGAAGATGATTTTGATTGAAGATGAAGAAGATTGAGAGGATGTTGCAACTAAGGATTAGAGAGGAGATAACACAATCAACTAAAATGACAATTATTCTACTGAAAATCCTCTAAGTGATAAGAGTGTGGGCAGCTTTTGAATTAACAAAATTATGATCTTAGAATATTTATTTATATTAAATTGGAAATAGGAGAGACTTATTATTTAGTGTTAGTAGCCTTTAATAACTTTTTTATGATCTTACTTTGATATTAATATATTCCTTATTATTTCATAATTTAATTTGGAGGCTTATATCTCAAAATACCTCTAGACTTACGTCTGGCCTTATAAAAAGAAAACACCTCAATATCCAACTATAAAATTTAAAACCTTAATAATTACATGAACATGTATGTATAAATACTAAACATGTATGCATACATATATGACAAACATATGTATTAGTATGTGTGTGTAGTGTGTACACAACAACAACAACAACAGCATCAAGCCTTTATCCCACTACAGGGGGGAGGGGGGGTCAATACATGAATCTTTTGTATCCTTTGTGTCATGTTAAGAATCAAATTCTCATTTAAATCTAATAAAGAAAGGTCATTTATGATATTTTCTAACCAAGTCTTTTTAGGTCTATCTTTACCTTTCTTAACATAAGTCAAATATAATACATCTACTCTCCTAACTAGGTCATTGGAAGGTAGTCATTTTATGTGACCAAGCCATCTAAAGCGACTCTATCTAATCTCATCTTCCACTAGAGCAACTCCAACCTTTTCACGAATATATATTATTTTGAGCATCTTTTAACCATGCAACATACAAATAAAAATAAATATTCTATTGACTATGTAAAGAAAATAGTAAAGAATCAAATATTATCAACATTACTTTTTTGGAATGAAGCCAACTCATACCACATGGAGTAAGAATCATATTGGTTGGCCCAACTATCAATCAATGCTTAGTTAGTAGCAAAACAAATTTTAAGCATGTTTTTTAAGCAATTATAACTGATAGCAAAATTTTGAATTAAAATTTTTATATAAGAGATATTTTAGAGTACAATCAATGCATGTTGTATTGTTTTTTTTTTTTCATCATTCTTGATTAATGAATGTGCAATATTGATTTTTGATGAAGTCATTTTCCATACAGGATCAAGATATACTTTTTTATCTTACATTTTGAACCACTAGTGGAAATTGAAAAAAAAAATTATTGCAAGGAACTATCGATCAAACTCATATATATTAACTACCAACAAACCTAAGTCGAAAATCAAATTAGTTCATTTTAAATTATCCCAAAAAATTTTTTGAATTCGTTACATTGAATGTATTGTCAATCTCAAGAAAATATAAATCAAAGAAGAATAATCAGTTAAAATTTAAATATCCTAGCAAGAAAAAAGTCACAAATCACAAACTAGTTGCGGAAGCCATGCAATCAAGATATAAAATTCTACTAGTGATAAAATATAGAAACTTTGATCATAAACAATCATAGATGCATCCTCAACTACCCAAAAAATTCAATGTTCACTTATTATATTGAAATGCCAAAAACAACACTCTTGCAGCCCAGCTTTTGTATGATTCATATAGAAGTTTCTAAAACAAATACATATCAACTCAAATGTAAATCTCAAGGATTCTAACCATACTAAGAAATTCATTGCAAAAATGCAAACTTCAAAAAAGAAAAATGAGTCAGATTCCATATTATTCAAACCAGACTCCACCTAAACCTTGTTTAAACGGTCTAACAGAGCAAACACTATAAGAACTCAAAATCGTTTGTTTAGTAATAGTGATCAAGTCATCTAAAACGAAGTGCCTTACCTTGACTTTATTAAATACATCAAGAAGATGTTTTGGATCAGAGCAACCATCACGGTAGTATTCAGCCACAGCAATGTTATGAAGAACCTGCAAAGCATGTCATAAAAACCAAACAAGGTAGAGAAATGATTTAAAAAATCATGGAAGATAATATGTACTTCTAGGGGGAAAATGATGATAAATACCTGTGAGAAGATCGCAAAAAGTCACTAAACCTAATGCTTGGAGAAGAAAACATAGTTCAAGCAACCCAAAACTTATCTAAAATTTATTATAAGAATATAAAAATCCTTGGATGAAAAAGAAATAAAATAAAAAATAATTCAATGATCAAGCTCAATTTTTAAGTTTTTTAAATGATATCATGATATTAATAATGAGCTAATGCTTTCAACCAAGCAAGGAAAAGCCAAGTCCAGCATGCTTCAAATTAAAACAATTCAACCAACTAACCAAGGAAATTGAAGTATTATTCCCATTTCTCAACTTAGTCCCTAATTTTATCTCTTGCTAATGATAGATCTAGATTCACAAGATTATGAGATAGTTTACAGCCACTATATTAGAATCAAGCATAGGAGATGTAAAACAAAAAAGAACTCAGTGTTCGAAATGAGTGAAATTGATAACACAATCAGCACATATTGAACTTCCACAGCAACAACAGAACACAAGCTTATTTAAGACCACAAAGAGATTATGAACATCAACTTTAAGCAGTAAAGTAGAACGCCAATGAAACCATTAATGTTCTTCAAACAATATGGCCTCGCAGATTTGATTAAAAATTCAGATTGCATAACTGCTAAAACTTTGATACTGAGATATCAATATACAACTGCAGCTTTTAAGAGCATACCAAATCTCAACAAAATGATGCACTCAATTACATGATGAAACAAAGAAGCAGTATAAGAATCAGAGACCAAGATACAATACAAATCATACGAAATTCTCCCTATAATAACAATCCGGTATAATCATTATTAGTCAAATGCCAACTATTCTGTGCCAGCTTTGTAAATCTTCTTATAAATTAATTCCTCTTGAATGCTACAAGATGTGTTAACCCCATCATGTGCAAGTATTTTTGCATAGGTTCTAGTAATGTTAAATTGGACCTACTCCTCGTTCCTACTTAATTTTCTTTAATTTCCCTGAGAATTTCTTTGCCTATAGCATTTAGCAACGCCAAAGATGTATTCAGAAGGCAAAGTCTAATAAAAAAAAGTCAATATCAATATCTGCCCCGTTTAAACATATTGTCCATCCAAGTAAATAGAATTCTATTGAATCTGAAGGAGGTTGGAGTTATCCCAGCCTAACATAGTCGGCCAATACAAGTCCATGATGACATAAATGTTGAAAAAAAAAATTCACAATTAGATATGGAATTCAAGCAATTATTTCTTCTCTAAATGACTAATAAAATTCTAGAGATATAAGAAATCCAGTATTTGCATCAAAATCTCCAACCAAAATTCCTAATTGCAGAACAAATGGTCAAGTTACAAACTTTCAACAAAAAAAATGAAAAAAAAAAAACTCAAAATAGTTATAAGTGTGTATCGGAAAAGCAAGCCCAAACCAACATTTCAAGAAAATAACATACACCAACACTCCACCAAAACAAAAAGATCGAAGAAAGCAATGCATCACACCTTCGGATCGCTTCCCTTCTTCGGCAAGAGTTGATTCAAAACCTCGACGCACTCTTCAAATCTCCTGCTCTGGAACATTACCTCCGCCTCCTTGGCCAATCCAGCCGTGAAGACTTCCTCCTCGGAAGACCCGTCCCTTCCCAAAGCAATCGACGACGAATCCCGTGCATCCATCTTCAAATTGGTAGTCTCCAATCGGATCCCCAGTTCTAAACAACCAAACCAAAAGACAAATACCTTCAGCAAGCCTATCTCCGGCACTCCTTTAAACCCCCATTTTCGCGCAATCAAATCGAAATCAAGCAGTCGAAGAGACCCTCGGAGGCTCTTCTTCCATGGTAGGGTTTGTTGGAATGCTAGGGTTTCGAGGAGCGGAAAGAATTGGGCTTTAGGTATTGGGGTTCCAAACTACGATCCTTCAAAGACGAAATGAACAGCTCCGCAAGCCACGGTAGCGTTTTGAGAGATTGTGGCAAGCTACCGGATGAGGAAGGGGAAGACAGAGAGAGCGAGCGATACTGCTACTATTCATTCGACGATGAGAGAGAGAGAGATGGAGGGTAAAAGAAAACTAATTTAGAGGTAAAAGAAAACTAAACTTTCTTATTGGTTTGGTTTTCGTTTAGGTTAAGGTCATCCGATATATAGGTCGAGGTAATTATTATGGTCATTATTATTTTTCTTCCTATAATTTTTATTATTCATTTTTTTTTCCACATTTGATTCAATATTGGAGGGAGGGGCAATAAGAATTTTCACATAGATCCATTTTTATTTCTATCTATCTATATAGATAAAAATAAAAATTCTATAAATTAAAATCATTTTTTCATAAGTTTTGCATTTTTTATCTACATGTATTCAAAAGAATCGTATATTTGATCCCGAAGAGAAAGAAGAGATCTTCGAAAAGTGTGTTTTTATGATACGATAAAAAAATCAAACTTATTCAAATATTTCTGCTATTTTATATTTTCTTGAAAAATGCCCTCAACCCATAAGAACGGTTTATGATATTTTTAAAGAATTTCGAGTTTTTTTTTTGATAAAAAAGAAAGTAAAAATGAGAATTGTGAATAAAAAAAGGATAGGGTAACTAATATAGTAATATCTATCTTTATGTAATTCTTTATTCAAAGTTTGTTCTTTTTTGTTCTATTCATATTTATTTTATTCTTCTTTTTCTTGTTGGTATTTTTTTTTTGGGGGTTCTTCTTGAATTTGTATTGCACCTTTTTCTTTTATTACAAAAAGACGTTATTTTTTCTATCTTTACCTTTTCATTAATTCCTTGTTTTTTTTCCGCTCAAAGTAATTATTTATTCTTTATGTTGCCCAACTCCAACACAAATTTTTATGTAATTTCTTGAAATTTGTTTTCTAAAAAGTTCATTCATACTGACAATGGCATCTCAAACAAATATAATTTAATTGTATATAAATAGATCTTTTAATCCCCATTCTTCTGTTGAATCTTTTGTTCACTTTAGTAAAATGGATGAGTTTGTTGGATTTTTTATTTATTTATTTTGACCATATATACATCTCATATTGATCCAGGTTGCTAACTCAACGGTAGAATACTCGGCTGTTAATTGCGACTATGATCTTTTACATACTTGGATGAAGGAATTCGTCTGGACTATTGGTAAAGTATATAAAATTGCGAGTGGTCAAGGTAATGAATGAAAAAAAAAGTATGTCATAAATAGAATAGAACGGGGATTTTTCTTTTTATCGGAATTTTTAAGTTCAGTAAAGTATTTCGGGTCTAGTGAATAAATGGATAGAGCCTTATGGCTCCAATTTGTGTAAGACAAAAAAGAGAAGAGCTTCATTTCTTAATTTGAATGATTGCCTAATTGAATTACTAATTATATGTTAAAAATATATTAGTGTCTGATGTGGGAAAATGTTCTCTTGTGAATTGTGAATCGACCATTGATTCTTTTTTTTTAATCCTAAATATTTGTTATTGTGGATTGGAGATGGATGTGTAAAAGAAATAGTAAAGTGATAAAAAAGAATTTTTTTCCGTAGTCAAAAGAGTGATTGTGTTACAAAAATAAAATATTTTTATAAGATTTTTATCCCTTTTCTAATTATAATTTTATATTTTCTTTCTTTTTCTATTATTGTTATTCTAGTTATATTAACAAGGAAATCTCCTAATTTAGAGAACTATTCTATATTTTATTTTCTAGAATATATGATAAAGTTCAATCATGAGCCAAATACTTTTATTTGTATACACAAACATCTTTATTGTTTGTGAATTTGATTTGAACTTGATTGAATTAAACATTTCCTTTAAACCAGGAACCGAGCTGAGATATTCACAATGTATCAAACAACTAACATCATTGTTCTCAATTAGGGAGTTGGATAGGATATCGATCGTAATAGTAAGGCATCGACATAAGTGGCGGTGTGTGATTGAAGATGATAAATTTATGATGGATGACATCGACGAGGTTGATGATGTCTAAATAAAAAAGATGTTCACACGGTGGGAGCTTGCTATGGGAAGACATTGAAGGAGAAGAGTGTTTTGTGATAAGAGCTCGCTGGAGAATGGAGAAGTTATCGATAGTGTTTGATGTGAGTGATTAATGCTAATGGAAGTCACTTGGAAAGCCATCGAAGGGGTATGGCAATCTTGATCGTGTGTCATGAGAGTGATAGTGTGTGACGAGAGAGCAATGTATGAAAGAGAGGGGGATTTGTGACTTGGATATCTAGTTCTTGAACAAGTTCAAATGAGATTTGAACAAAGTTTGAACCAGTTCAAATTGATTTCAGCTTGAATAAGGATAGAATTATTTTTCAAATTAAGTTCAAAGTTATGAGGTTTGAATTCAAATATGTATACTTTGGCTTAAAAAAACACTCTAAATATAAGATGTCATCCCTCATTGAGGGTGATTTGATATTAAACAAACATTCAAATATATTTTCGAAAAAAATAGAAAATAACAGATATATTCCTTCAATTATGAAGCATACAAAGTCAATCTTCTCTTTTATAATTATTAGATTTATTATATTATAAATCTAAAATATATATGTTTAATAAATTAATTATAAATTATATTCATCTAAAAATAAATAGATTAATTAAATTTTTTATTTAATATAGCTTTAAACCAAAAAAATTTATCCCTAAACTTGCGCTAATTATCTATGCGGCCCACAAAATGTTCATGGCTTCACCGAGCCACCAACAACTACATTGCACTGGTCAATGGCTAATATAAAATTTATAAAATGAATAAATTATAGATTTAAAATATTAATAATAATAATATGACATTTGACGGCTCTCATTGATATAATAACTTTGCAACAAAAACTACATTTATTTGTCTAAATTTTATCATGTTGTTATTTAAAAATGCATTATTTTATTTTAAGTTTGTGACTAATATTATATTATTTATATTGATGTCAAAGTTTTTATTTTATGAGACTCCATTGATATAAAATATTCAATTCTCATATGATATCATGTATCATATTATAGTATATGATGAATGACATAATCACAATAATTTAATAAATCAATGTGTATCATATGATCACTCATAATAGAAAATTTCTTCCTACACGTAAATCTTTAAGTCATTGAGGATGTTATGAGTGGCCGCACTATGAACAATGAAGTCCATAATTATATATCCGTAGAGCGTTTTTGAAATTAGTAATGTATGGAGAAGGTTTGAAACTTGATGGATTGTAGAGCTTTTGATAAATTGATAGACCGATAAAAATATTCTCAAATTAGGATTAGGTTTTGTGTAATGGTTCATGTCCTTCAACCATACTAGAGTGATAAAGTTGTAGTAGTTCATGTTATAGTAGTGAGATAGAGGCACACATTACAATTCACCGATTCTTTTTAAATGAATCCATCGTGGAACATATAATCTAAAAAAATGTTGGAGTTGATTTCTATTTATTCATGCAACTCCCTTAATATTGAATTATGATTGTATCATGCATAAGTTGTTATAATATGGTTGGGTTAAGGGCCAATATCAACCTTTGGAGATTGGATTTAGTAGGGGAATTATGTCGAGTCTCTGTAACGCAAGACAAAGCATTTGTGATGAGTTTGTTAAAGAGACCATAATTATATTTAATTTAAAATTTAAAGCCAAATTTTATTGAGAAATCATTGTTGCAATAGCATCTAAATGACTTGGGTATTATTTATTAAATTCTTTTTTGATCTGTCTTAATGATGAATCGAGATTCAAACATATATTGTTCATCATTTCATCATATCTTATGTGATGGCATACATCTTGGGAATGTAGATTGAACCAAGTTGCATAGGAAAGTACTACTCTAATGCCTACACCACATGCATTGATATCAACAATAAATTGTGAATTCAGTCAGGGGCGGAATAAGTAACTGCTTGCATATATGTCGGGGGTTCAAGGAGCAGCGCCCCCTTGCGGGGTTCGACCTGCCCGATCAGGTCGCGGGGTCAAGGGGCAGCGCCCCTGCGAGGGTTTTCGGGGACAGCGCCCCCGGAATAAATTTTAATTTAATATTTCTCTGTGTATTTGGTTCATCATTCCCTAACAATAACATATCTACATAATGTATTTAATTATATTGGGGGCAATTGCTTAATGATCATAGTATTTTAATATTTTTAGATGGGGCAATTGCCTAAAATTCCTTATAATAAAGACTAAAAATTACATAAAATAAGAGTATAATGAATTTTTTTTTTAGGGGGGGCAATTGCCCCCCCTAACAATAAAGGGGTTCCGCCCCTGAATTCAATGAGCTTAAAAAATGGTGTAGGCAATTTGTTGTTTAAGCTAGTTTAATGTTTCGTTTGGGATCATTTTCTAACTGTTTCTTATAGTAGCTTTTTAGTACAAAAAATTTTATGAAAAATTTTTGTACTAAAACGTTACTTTAAGAAGCAGTAAACAAGTTGGTCCAAACTAAACCTAAAGCATCATATACTGTTGCATTCTAAGTGAATGCAACATGTTGAAGAATAGCCATAAGTAGTTCAACAATGTGGGACAAACCTCAAACAAATTTGTAATAGTAGGCCATTAAGCCGAGGTGCCCACATAGTTCCTTGATAGGCTTAGTTGGTGCCCATTGTGAAATGGCCTTAATTATGGAAGTAATTGGCCAAACACCTTGGTTAGATATAATGTGTCCTAAGTACTCAATTTTAAATTGGCCATAAAGGGCCATTGGAGCATCAAAGGTGGAGTTGATTGTCTTAAAAGTAATGAAAATGGTGCTTAATTAGTGTTGTATAATGGGCATTAATTAAAATATCATAACTAAATTGATTATAATTTTTTTAAGAAATTGGGTTGAGTATGATATTCATAATATTCTAAAATATAAATGCTGCATTACTTAGGCTAAATATATGCCCACTGTGAGTGGAAATGGCCATTTTGTGGATTTTTTTAACATCCATGTAGAGTTAGGTTTTGTTTGGGATAGCTTTCGTATTGCTTTCTAAAGCAACTTTATAGTACACACATTATTTGTTCAAATAGTTTTTGTACTAAAATGCTGCTTTAGAAAGCAGTAAAAAAGTTATATCAAATG